AGTTTTTGGAAACCTTTGTTCCACATAAGAAAACTAGTGGAAAAATGTATGATTATAAGATTCAAGTTTGACTATGGAGTTTGGGCATTAAAAAATGGCACCCAATGTTATCAAAATCGACCCGGCCCGACCGGTTCAACCGATAAAACTGGAACCAGGCACAAAATCAGGTCAATCATGTCCAGTTAACCGCTTATGACTAAACCATCTTAAAACTCACTGAACCGGTCGATTTAACCGTAAACCGATGAACCTGTCGCGATTTTGTGGTTTCCCCTTTTTTTAGTTTAAAAAGTTTCAACTTTATGAATGGGCCTCATAAACAATTCGAAGGCCCATGGAGAAATATTAGATGATATGCTCCTTAATAGATACACATTTCTCAAATGATTTTATATGCTTTTAATGTGGGATAGTGCATTTTATAAATGCATTTCTCTCCAATGGTTTCATAAACTTTTAATATAGGATGGTAGCATAACAAAAATGTTAACATATTATAGAATAATGAATCTAATTAACAAATTATTAATATGAAAATTAAAAAAATTATTGTTTTCATAATAGTTTATTTTATTATTTTTGTATGTATTTATTGAATCCGGTTCAATCCATGTTCGACCTTTTGACCTTTGACCCTTCATCTTTTATAAGTCGATGACTGGGTCGATTTTCAAAACATTGAATTGGCACCTAACTTCTGGAATGGGGTGACGACCTAGATACTTGTAGGTTCAATTCACATGCTCATGCATCGTTGTTTGGTTGGCATAGGCTCGATCCCGAAAGTGGGCTTTGCGTCTAACGTTTGTTTTTTGTTGAAACAAACACTTGCTTTCTACCTAAGCAGTAACCACTGTCTTGAAAAGACATTTAAGTTGTTCAATTGACGACGAACATTCTATAAATTGTTTGTCTTTCTACCATATTATGACACACCATTCCATGCAATAAAATTTCTACTTTGAATTTTCTCTCTCTTCAAATTCTGCTTCTGTCTTACAAGTACAAACACAAAAGATGAGTTTGTTGAAACTCTTACAGATTTTTGTGCTACTTCACAAGAGATGAAAGTCCATTCGAACATGGGAGACGATTACTGACTGCCTGTATAGGAAGCAAATTCATTGAAAGAATACATCATGAAGTCAATGAGGATAAATCATCCTTTCTATTCCTATAGCAAGTATTTTTAGATTGTTAAAAGAAGAAATCAATATTTCAAAAACATGATGTCCTTTTGTTCTCAATCCAACTCTTCAATAAAGTGACTTTCTTGACTGTAACATCCATGATATGAAAACACATTTGTTTAATCTTTATTTTATATTACAAAATAAATACTGTTAGGAGTTAGCCTTGTTCCAATATGAAAACATTTTATGGATTTATGTTACCTAGGGCTAGAGGTGTCAACGAGCCGAAACTCAAGGCTATTATTGTAAGCAAATTCTACCAATGGTAGTCTAATAGCTTTTATTGTAAGCAAATTCTACCAATGGTAAATGATTTTCCCAATTTCTTCCAAGATCTAGGACAAATGCTCGAAGCATGTCCTCAAAAATTTGAATAGTCCTCTCCAACTGTCCATTTGATTGTGGATGGAAATATGTAGTGAAGTTTAGCTTAGTCTCCATTGTCTTGTACATACTTTTCCAAAATTTCGAGGTGAATCTCAGATCTCCATCTAACACTATAGAGACTGGGATCCCATGTAACCTCATCACTTCCCTAACATATAGTTGAGCTAACTGATTTATATTAAAAGCCATCTTTACTTTTGTCAATCTATTGATAATAACCCATATTGCATCATTTCCTCTATTTGATTTTGGAAAATCATTTACAAAATCCATGGCAAAGTGCTCCCATTTTCATTTAGGAATCTCTAGTGGATTTAATAATCCTAATGGTATCTGATGTTCTACTTTCACTTGTTGGAAAATTATGCACTTTTCTACAAATAGACATATTCTTCTTTTCATATGTTGCTACCAGAATATACTTTGAAGGTCTTTATACATTTTAGTATCGCCAGGATGTGCTACGTATCGGGCAAAGTGAGCTCTTTTTAATATTTCTTTTCGTATCTTTTCATATTTTGGTACACACAATCTTCCTTTAATCATCAACGTGTTATCTTCCTCTAACTCAAAACCCTTTCATTTGCCCGTGTTAACTTCACCTTTAATCTTTTGCAAAAATGGATCATTATCTAGGACTTTCTTAATTCGATCTCGAATAGTAGGTTGAACTGTGAGGGTAGCAATTCGTGCTACAATATTTACTAAAGATGAGATCACTTCAAGTTGCAAATAATCAATATTTCTGATCAATGATTTTTGTATAATAGGTAAAGGTGCTAGATGTATTGTTGTCATCCTACTTAATGTGTGAGCAACTACATTGGCCTTTCTTGGATGGTAATGAATGGTACAATCATAATCTTTTGTCAATTCTAGCAATCTACGATGTCTTATGTTCAATTCCTTCTGTGTGAAGAAGTATTTTACGCTTTTGTAGCCTGTATAAATATCACGCTTAGCTCCGTAGAGATAGTGTCTTCATATCTTTAGTACATAAACTACTGCTGCTAACTCCAGGTCAAGCGTTCGGTAGTTTTCTCCATATGATTTTAGTTGTTTGGAAGCATATGTGATAACTTTACCATGCTGCATAAGTACAAATCTCAGACCCTGCTTAGATGCATCACTATAAATAATGAAGCCCTCTGACCTTTTGGGTATGGTCCAGACTGGAACTGAGGTCAATTTCTGTTTATGTTCCTAAATGCTCTGTTCGTACTTCTCTGTCCATTGGAACTTCATGCTCTTCTTGTTAACTTAGTCATTGGGATGGCAATCTTTTAAAACCTTTCAATGATTCGTCTATAATAACTTGCTAATCCTAAGAAGCCGGCACTTCCCTAACATTAGTTGGCCAAGACCAACTGGTGATTGCTTTCACTGTATTTGGGTAAACTTTTATTCCTTAGGTTGTGATCACGTGACCCATAAATCCTACTCTATTAAGCTAAAATTCCACTTTTGAATTTGGCAAAGAGTTTTTCCTTCCTCAGTATATCGAGAATAATCCTTAGGTGTTTCATATGTTCATGCTCACTATTTGAATAGATTAGTATATCATCAATGAAGACAATAACAAATTGATCTAGATGGTTGAGGAAAATGAGATCCATGAAGACTGCTGGTGCATTTGTCAAGCTGAAAGGCATCACCAAGATCTTATAGAGCCCAAATCGAGTTCTAAATGATGTCTTAAGAATTTAGTTACTTTAATGTTCAACTGGTGATAGACTGATCTTAAATCAATTTTTGAGAAGACCTTAGCACCTTGCAGCTGGTCAAATAAATCTTCAATTTCGGGAAGGAGATATTTATTTTTAATAGTAATACGGTTCAGCTCTCGATAATCGATTCACATTCTCATCGATCCATCATTATGCTTTACGAAGAGACACTAGGTCTAATAAAACGCTTGTCTAGCAACTTCTGCAACTGTACTTTCAATTCCTGAAGTTCTACCGGTGTCATACGATAAGGAGCCTTTGAAATTAGGGTAGCACTCGATATGAGGTCAATAGTAAACTCAACCTCTCGATCTGGAGGCATTCCTGGTAAATTTTCTGGAAACACATATGAAAAATTCTTAAACGTTCAAACTTCATCGATGGTTAGCTCCTTCTGACTAATGCCAATCAAAGATATCAAGAGCCCTTGAGCTGACTTCTTTTTCAACAAGTTTTTAGCTGCATTGCTAATATAAGTCGAGGTAGTGGATTTACCTTTGTTCCAAAGAAATGAAATTCTTCACTAGGCCATTGAAAAATAACATCCTTCTCAGAACAAAGAACGGTTGCATGATTTTTTGACAACCAATCCATGTCAAGTAAATGTGAAAATCTTTCATGTTTAGGACCACCAAGTCCATTTTTATAATCTTCCCATCCATATCTAAATTTAGATTTCCAACTATATAAGTTGCATTAAGCACCTTTCCAGATGATAGTGATACTTATAATATGTTATCAAGGGTATACATTTATAAACGACTTTGAAACAAATGAGTGTATAGATCCTAAATCAATTGATATAAAAGTAGGCATGTCAGAGAAAGATATGATACCTACCACCACATTGCAATCATTATTTATCTCTTCCTAGGTTAAAGCAAAAATTTTGACCTCATAGTAGTCTAAACGTGTCTTGGCTTGCCACGTGTATGATGGACACCTTTTACTACCAGGCATTCTCTTAGATGAAATTTTTTACATTTGGGATGGAGTTATCGTTGATTTTTGTCATTAAGTTGGCACCTGTTTTTGTCATTCCCTTTTTCTTGGGATAGTTTCCATTCCTCTTGATAATGTTATACCATTTGCGCTTATCTAAGGAGCATGTTTGCTGTTTACTACTTTCACCAGTTTGGTCATCATCAAAGGCGTTGAGCCTTCTCTAGAACTCCCTAATAAGTACACAATTAGAATACTGCCACTGCTTTTCTAATGTCAATTCTCAGTCCTCAAAATGTCAAGCCCGTCTCTCCTCTATGTCCACCAGATGTGGGGAATATCTGGATAAATCCTCAAACTTTCGCTCATAATTAGCGAGCATCATGTTCCCCTGCTTCAGCTCAAGAAACTCAGCTTCTTTCTGATCTCTTAAAGTAGCTAGAAAGTACTTCTAAAGCACTCCCCCTTTGAATTGTACCCATGTAAGGTTACGTTGTTGCTTCTCGGTATGTGATCTAGTAGTCATCTCCTACCAATGACCTACTCTATTCTCCATCATAAATACTACACAAAGGATCTTCTGTACATTAATGCATTCCATAAACCTGAAAATATGCTTAAGATGGCGAAGCCATTCTTCAATAGCCAGTGGATCGGGGCTGTCTTCAAACATAGGTAGGTGCATCTTGCGAAAATATTCTATAATCAAAGACGATCTAGGCCT